GACCGTCTACTTAATTAGATATAAGCAAGAACTTCGCCGGAACTTCAGCATGCTCGAGGTCTTTGGCATTGCCTTTGCTATCATGGGCCTGCTCCCTTCTATCGCGAGTACGCTCTCGTATTCGATTCCGGCAGGCCCAGTTGGGTTGGTTTGGGGCTGGTTCCTGGCTTCGGGATGGATTTTCATCGTTGGTCTAGCTATGAGCGATCTGGCGAGCTCGATGCCGACGAGCGGCGGGTAGGTGGTTCATTGATGCTGCTCGGGTGCTTCGAAGGACCCTCTGCCTTTGAACTGACACGGCTCTAGGCTTTATTACTGGACCCATTATTATGCCTCACCAAAGTGGCGGAATCCCCTGAGCTTCCTTGTCGGATACAGCAACACGCTCGGGCTGGTGGGAGGTCTTTGTTCAATTGATTGTGCGCATGCTTTTATCCTCTATTCCCGCCTCGGTGCCGCCCAATGACTAACTTGATGGAAGACGGATTCTCCTTGATGTTTCTCTCCGTCATTGTTATAGCTCGTGATGGCAACTGGACGCCAAGTAACGGCACCATCTACGGAGTTTTCCTCGCCACTGTGGCCTGCCATGCTGTCATCGCCTCAACCATGGCCCGCATCATGGGCAAAATGCAGACGGTGTTTGTCGTCATGAATTTCGTCTTGATATTCGCCACAATCATTGCTCTGCCGATTGGAGCCAACAAACGAAACAGTGCCTCGTACATTTTTACGCATGTTGAGAACTTGACGAATTGGCCCTCGGGCTGGACTTTTATGCTCTCCTGGCTCAGTCCCATCTGGACCATCGGTGGATTTGACTCGGCAGTCCATATCAGCGAAGAAGCCACCAATGCTACCAAAGCAGCCCCGCTAGGAATCCTTTTTTCCATCGGCTCGTGCTGGCTGTTTGGGTGGATCTGTTGCATTGTTATCGCGGCGTGCATGTCGCAAGATCTGGAAAGCATTCTGGGCTCACCTTTCGGACAGCCGATGGCCCAGATCTACTACAACGCCCTTGGCAAGAATGGGGCTTTGGGTTTCATGGCTCTGCTGATGATTGTTCAATTCCTGGTGAGCATCTGCACCGTTTCCTTGTTGGTAAGATTGTTGTTTTTGGCTAACATGCTAAGATGGGCGTCTCGATCCTGGTCGCCGCCTCTCGCCAAGCATGGGCATTTTCTCGTGATGGAGCTTTGCCTTTCTCCAGCTTCTTCCGACACATTTCCAAATCGTTCGGCTATATTCCCGTCCGCACGACGCTTGGTTGCGCTACTCTAGCAGCTGTTCTCGGCCTGCTTTGTCTGATCGCCCCTGCCGCCGCCGCCGCTCTGTTTTCCCTCGCTGTTGCGGGCAACAATCTCGCATGGGGCACTCCGATCCTCTGCCGCCTTGTCTGGGGACAGAAGAAGTTCAGTCCCGGTCCCATATACACGGGCAAAGCTTCGATTCCTCTCGCCTGGGCGGCCGTCACTTTTCTGGTCTTTGGTATTCTGCTGTGCATGTTCCCTGTTGGCGGACCGAACCCGGATCCCGACACCATGAATTATACATGCGTCATCAACTCCGCCGTGTGGGGAGGCGCGTTGCTATACTACTACATCGATGCGCGCAAGTGGTTCCGCGGACCACAAATCACGATCGATCTCAGCCAGCTTACCGAGGAGCAGGCTGAGGCGTTGAAGGAGGAAGGGCTCAAGGAGGAAGGCACCAGTGGACATGGTGTGATCGGTGGCAGGAGCACCAGTGTTTCAGTTGATCTAAAGGACAGTTGAAAGAGCAGAATATGCCGTTGACGCTTCTCTCAATGTCTGTGGTTGGCCTCGTCAGCTAGCTTTCTAGGCGATTGCTAGGCATGCACTAATGCTGCTCACCATCGCTTCCTCGACTAATACACATGTTGGACTGGCCCAATTTAGGTAGGCCGGAAGGTCCCAGCACTGCGGTAGCCTGTCACCGATTGAAACCTCGTCTGTGATTCCAGATATGCTGCTCTTCTCTTTTAATTACTCAATCAATAAATCAACCAACCTATGAGGGAGCAGATTGCTGCGTGAGAGAGAAGCATAGAAAGATGTTCTTCGCACGATATACCACTGAGGTGCGGTGTCTCTAAGCCCTCGACCCCCATATCCTCTCGAAAGAACCCAGAGACCGGCCAAAGTCTTCTGGAGCTCGAATTCCATGCACTTCGAGGTCTCACTACTAGTACCATGTATGCACCGAAAGCGGGCCACACCTCCGACCCAAATCCATCTGTAGAGGATGAAACTTTGCTCAAGAACACCGGTTATGTCGACCACGGAACATATGTGGATGCACGATAGCTGTTGATCTTACGAAGTCCGCAACAAAATTTTACGTTTGTTGTAAATGCTTCACAGATTCCACGAAATGTGCTTCAGACGTCGCTTGCTCGGAGCGCGATTATCGTCGCTGCGATCGGTGGCAGAAGGATGCCCGCGAGGATGCACGCAGCGACGGCCCCTTTTCAATAGCCGACCCCTTCCAAACCCCTTTTGGAGAAATGCAGTTAGAGAGCAAGTCGACCTTGATTTTGAAATAAGCACAAAGTTCACCCTTTTCATCGACTAGCGGAGAAGAGACTGGCACTACTCACTCGAATGACATGGAGAGGGAAACAGCAGGCTTTGACGTTCCACATTGTGGACAATCTCTTCCGTGTGCGGAGGAGGCATTTGCAGCAGCAAGATGAGGCAGATGGCGCCGAACGCTCAGTGACGATCGAACCTGAGCCGCTGAAAGTGGCATCTGAACCGAGCTTTCCATGCCGTCTTGAGCAAGTGTGGCGGCTCGAGCCTCCTGGACTCTGGACGTGGCGAAGATAGGAGCCCGACATACTCTCAGGAACTGTGCGAATTCACCTCCGATATGTCAGTGGTAAGGTCAACTTGGGCGATTGGCCGGAGGCAGCCGAGTTGGCAGTTCACATCCTTAAGGAGTAGCTCCTTCATGTTTCGCAACGGACTGCTGCTGGTGCCATTCCATCTCCAAGTAAAGCTCCTAGAACGGCCGTGAAGTCATTGATACTTTCTATCTACATGAAACTCTTTGGTAGAAGTGATCTCGGCCACCATAGGAGGCAACCGCGCTGCAGACATCGATTTTAAGGCGCAACTCAGATCGAACTCTCAAAATGATCAAAATTGAGAGCCATTCTATCTCCCCTTCGTGCGGAAAGATGCAAGAATACCTTCATTTGAGAAATCCGCCACGAGGTCAATACAAACAGATCTGGACTATTCTGGTATGTTGCAACAGATTCCTGGACCGATGCGTTACATGTTACTTCGGACTTTGAACCTGCGCAAAACGGCCGCAATTCAATATGCCAAGTTTGCGTTGCTCCTTGACAACAAGTATGCAGAGATCTGTGTAGAGGGAAGATCTGTCCAAAGGCAGAGAGCAGTACCAGCCATGTCACGACGATTCTGCCATGCATCCTAACATTTGCCCTTGGGATTCACAGACGCTACCACACTACTTTGAAGGAGGCACAAGTGCTGGGAGTACTCGAGGGTACTGACTCTGATACCAAGAAAGCTGAAAGGTCAACTTGTCGTCGCCAGTGGCCTACTCTCAAACGAAGGATGGGATGTGCAGCTACTTGATTGCATCGATGGCCGGCTTATCGGGCTCATAGGCTCTCTGGACTTGATATTATGCGTTGTCTTTGGTGTGTTATGGGCGAAGTTCCGTCAAAATGATTTCCGAAGAGGCGCCGCTCTTGCATAGAGCCTCATGGGATTGGTCTCATTCCTGACCACCGTGTGCGGTGTCGTGGATATGATTGAGCAGAGGCACTAGAATACGCTTTCCAGGCACCACTTTTGGACTGTTTGCTTTCTGGCGAGGACAAGAAGAAGTCGTGCGCAACAACCGAACACTTCAAAAAGGCAACGAAGAGAAAGAGGCCAAGATACTTTCGACGTGGTGTGTCAGGATTTGGTGGCACCACAGCCGTGAGGCCAAAAGAGGATCGAGGCGTTAGAGAGAAGAATACGAAGTCCTTAGGCGCTTGAAATCTGTCCAGAAAGACCGCTGTGAGAAGTGAAATGATCCAGTTCTAATGGTTGATTTTCCCAGGACGATTCTAACTCACTATGTCAGCATCAAGCCTCGGACCGTGTATGCTTACGACAACTTTCTGATACCGAGGGGGTATAAATTTCCCTATCCGTCTTTCATCTTCTTTTGAAGCGCAGGAAGCAACAAAGGAAGTGGTGTTGATGTACCGCAGCCTTGGTGGTCCAAGCAGTACGTCCGCGGCTCAGCAAACTAGCGGCGGTTAAACACATAACACTAGTACCGCTGAGATTTGAAAAAAATAAGCGACAGACACGCACCTACGACACAATGCGTTCTGGTCAGTGTTTTCGCCGATCGAGCAATATTTATTCAACAGGCTCAGATAGGCTCCACTTTTGCTCGACCTTCGCTCGACCTCTCGGTGGGTCACGTGAATCCTCTGCCGCACCCCCTTTTTTTATTGAGCCTTGCCATTGAGAGAAGTGCTATTCATGGCCATGACAATGAATTTACAGTGACAATGACTTCACAACAAGGGAACTCAGCCCCACACAATGAATTATTAATATCACACCAGGAGTGGGATGTTATTCATTGTATTGATCCGAACACCCCACCCAGCGTCTTCAATCGACACTATCTCAAAACTAACAACATTAAGAACAAGTTATTGTTCCTTCTACACTTAATACAGCTGAATGTTCCGTTGAAAAACTTGTTCGCCACTATCATATATACGCTCTCGTCTCTTCTCTCCAAGTAGCCAGTCTCTTCCTCCCTGGTCTCCTTTTGAAGAAAGTGTCTTTCCAGCCCAAGCCCGATCTCAAACTCAAGCAACACCGATTCTTCTCTCTGCCGCTGCGCATCAAGTCTTTTCAAATCTCCAAGGTCTCTTGATCACTTTATTGCGCTCTAAGTCCATGGAAACCGTCAAGCTCACCAATGAAAAAATGGCTCCCGAGAAGTACGCAGTCTTCTTCCTCTAACAAGACGGTTATCTCTTCTGTGGTTCGCTCAGCGCAGGCGCCGAAGAGGTTACCTCGATTGTTCGCTCCATTGTCAACAACCAAGACTATGTGAGGAAGAAGACAAAGGCTACCTCTGCAACTTCAAGCCACAAAGCCGGCATCTATTGTGCCGAAGTCAGTCTCTATCGCCCACATCCTCGAATCCCGGCCTTCGTGCACTCTCAAGATTTCCAGGTGCTCCCTCAAGGCCACCCACGTGCAGAGGAGTTCAAGGCAACATCAACGCTCTTCTCGTACTGTAACGGTGGGACACTGGAGCGGTTCATCAGAGTCCTCGAGCGCGAGCGCATCCTGGCTCCCGAAGTCCTTGTCTGGCGCCTCTTGACAACTTGTTGGAAGCCGTCGAACACCTCCACTGCAACACCTCCATCTCCCATGGAGACCTGAAAGAGAGCAACATCTACCTTCATTTCCCAACCCCGGAGAGCAGGCTTCCGGACTTCTATATCGGAGATCTTGGCTTGGCCAGACTGGTCGATCAGAGCGTCTGGGAAGTGCCTGGAAATCCGCCAGCACGGAAACTGAGAGATGCCAAAGTTATCAAGGAGGAAGACAAACATGCCCAGCGAGAGTGCCAGACCAGGAAGCAAATGGGCGTTGCTCAAGAACAACCACCACCGCCGTCGCGCACGCAGCAGATTGAGGCGATGATCAACGACCTCAGGGGCATCCACACCTGCCTGTCGAAAGTCCTGGAAGGCCGTGGCCAGCCTGATCAAAACAAAACATTCGCACCATTTAGAGACTGGAACTGGGTGCTCATCATGAATACCAACCCAGAGGATTACAATGCCTTTGTGGGCTTCCGTGAAGCTGTCAGCGGGCTTGCTCAGCAGGCCCGAGACGCAACGGGAGGCCCCCTGCTAGAATTCCAGTGGACTCGACAGCACCGGTACAGAGACGACCTAGCGCCAGGGGTGCTGACTCCTAGCTACCCCTGGAAGAAATACAACCACCATCTGGCCAACCATTCCTGGTTGAGAAGCCGCCTTTCCACGGAGTGGCAGCACAAGCCACTACCAGAAATACAACTCTACAAGTCCCGCTACGAGTTGCTGAGCCTGTGCGCCAAGGTCCCAGGCCCATGGAAGATCGCACGAGTCGATCCAACCACGCTCAAGGTCCTGGCAGTCGAAGAGCTCAGCTTCAACCTGCATATCCCCTCGCTGAAGGATAATTGCCCGGTGACCCCTAGCGGTCGTCCGTTCAATCACGACGACCATTCCATGGTCAATCAACTAGTTACTACAGAGGTCGACCGCCTTGGCATGACCAACATTGTCTCGGCTGCCATGGTACGTGGCCACGGATACAACCAAGTCTGGTTTTGGGACGTTGACCCAGAGTGGAACAAAGAGAGACATTCGAAACAGGGTCAGCTGACGCCGCAAGCAACATATCTGCCTCCTCCGGAGCCGCCATTGCCGGCTCCAGAGATGCCGCATCCAACTCCGCAGGCGGGCCCGTCAGCAGCACAAAGAACGTCGCCGACATCCCCTAGAGAGGCATCGGCCACAGAAGAGGCCTCCACAACGGCCCAGCTCCCTCCAGATACACAACGGGCTGCCACGGCTTTGCTCCAGGATTCTCCTGCGGCGCAGCAGACGTCTCCATCCCCTGCACCTCCTCCACCTTCACATCGACCTCCCCTTCCACCTCAGTCACAAACCCCTCTTGCCCCCGAAGAGGGCTCCTCAACTCCGCAACAGGGCTCTCCAGTTGCGCAACAGGATTTTCCAACCCCTCGCCCCCAGACCCCTCTCGCTGCAGAACCGGCTGCCACTGAGGCTGCAGCAGCCCCAGAGAGCGACGTTCAAGAAGACGAGCAAGCAAACGCAGTCGTCAAGAAGGCGAAGAAGGGTGTGAGAAAGGGCCGAAAGGGAAGAGCGAGAGGCTGGTGGTGGTGGTGGTGGTGGTGGTGTTGGTGGTGGCGTTGGTGCGAAACACCCTCCGGGACGAAATCATCCTGCCACAAGACCACCGCGTGCGGCACAGCCGGCCCCGTCAGGCAGGGTCACGACCCGAAGTATGGGGCGCAAAGCGGCGGAGGAAAAGATCATCTGGACCAGAAGCAGGACCAGGGCCGCGGCGGTGGCAGCACACAGGTGTTGAGGTGGAAAAGTCCTCACAGAAGAGCAGAAATGTAACAGCCAGTCAAGGTGTAGAGTAGTCAGTAGCCTCTGAGGACAGAAGGGCCAAAAAAAGGAAAAGGGAAGGGAAAGAGGACGAAGCACGTGACCAAATCAGAACCAGTATGGAATTTACCAGCACTCAATACACGATGGAAACCAGATGCTGGTGAGAAGTGTTCAAAAAGCATGAGAATGCTTTAGCTTGACCGATAGAGAGGGAAGAGAGCGAGAAGAAAATAGGCACGGATTTATTTTCCCCTATAACTTTTTGAATTTTGCAAGATATACACTGACTTCTATGCCATTGAGACCTGAGGACATCGCCTCATCCCTCACTCCCCTCGCCCCTTTTTCGCCGATACATCTACTCGTACACAAAAAAGAATGGAACGGCCAACAAAATCACGCTTGTCATATCCCTCCCTTCCTCCATTTCTTGGCTTCGCCTTCCGACTTCCTTTTTGGGGGACAGAAACAATAGAGGACTGGGAGATCATCAGCACCTCTCTTGCTGCTAGGTTCTTGTGGACTCGAGAGAGAGGAGAACGGCTATAGCATCGCACAGTACAGCACGGTACAGGACCCAACACTGCTGCCGAATTTTCCATGTCTCCCGCCAGGTTGTCAGATCGGACCAACCTGGTTATGTACCAGCCGACCAACCGATCACCAACTCACGCTCATGCCCAAGCCCCGCCGCTTCGAACACGGGGCTTCTTCACGACGCCGGCGGGCACATCGCCCTTGTCCTCGACGCGCACCTCGTACTCGTGCTTGACGCGAATCTCGTTCTCGTTGACGACAATCAAGTTGTTCTCCGAGCCCTGCCTGCTCGGCCCGCGCGCCGTCTCGCTGCTGCCCTCGTCCGTCTCTTGCATGTGCACGAACCCCTTGCTGTCGCGCCGGACGTGGGACCTCGTGTGTGAGCGGTTGCTCAATTCCATCGCGTGGGTCCCCGACTTTGACCGGCCGCCGACACCTCCGCTCTGGCTGAGCCCGTAGTCCTTGTCCGTGCCGCGTTGATCGATAAAGGTGCGGATGAAGAGTCGCAGGATTGGTGCCGTCGTGGCGATTGGGATGGAGTAGTTCTCGATCCTGGACAACGCGCCAAGTTAGCTATCATTGTCACCCTTTTGGCAGCTGAGCCACTGTAGACAGTATGGTGCCTGTGTGTGTGTGGGTGTGTGCTCACTTGACCCAGAGGATAAATGGAACAATATTCCAGGTAAAGTCCAGCCTGCTTCCCAGCGCTGAGAGAAGGTATGTCTTGACTATCGACGCAACCCCAGACAACAGCAACGGGCCGCAAATCAGCAACGTCTGCCATAGACGTTGAGTCCGGATCCGTGGATCAAGTCTCTTAAATCTGGTGATAAAAGAGTTCTCGCGGCTCTTTTGAGCCCCCCGGAACATGAACTGCCAGAGCTCAAAACCGGCTAGGTAGGTCAAGGTGAAGTCGATGATGCAGTTGAAAGCTGCCCTGCCGTTAGATTTGGTCCTCAACATGAGTATAGCGCCCACTTACCCCCCTGAACGTATCCCACAGTTGCTTGTACTGTCGGCGCCTGACAGACAACTGAGCCGTCTTCCGGCAGGGGATCCCACATGTAATGGAAGTAAGCAGCCCTATTGACAAGACGATACGGATTGGGCCCGCATTGGAGGAATATTTGCAAGATTGTGAAGAGGTTTGCGACGATCTGGACCACCAGGCAGATAATAACGATGACCCGCAGGCTTCTTCGATTCTGGGCAAAGCATGTGTATAGGAAGAGGATCACGCCGGTTCGTGACCACATCGAAGCAGAGACTGCCAGGGGTTGAGAGATGAAATCCCATTTCATTGCTCGGTTCTTTTGAATTGGCGTAAGGTAGAAGAAATGCCTCCCTAATCCCCATTCCCAACTGTGTGGTGGTACCGTGTCAGAGCCCAGGAAACAGGAAGGGAAAATCAACGTGGATCATCTGTGAACTTGCCTCTTCCATATCAATGCCATATGACCGATATCAAAGGCGTAACCGAAGGCGAAGAAGAAGTCCTCCAGACCCCATACTCGCTGTGGCCTCGACACATGTGGTAGGAGCCATGAAATCCAAGCTTTCACACCGAAACGAAATAATAGGACGAAGAATACAAACCCTGTCAGTACCCAGCATCCTATAAAGATGTTCGTCCCTTTCGAAGGTAGTCAGTTTTTGTTCTGATGATTCTCAGGTGCGCAATTTTCAAATACCTCTGTTGACATCAGGACCATCAGGTCGTGGCACTTCCATGTTGCTGCTCGCACCGAAAGAAACCGTCCGTTGAACAAGAATTGTAGGGTTGCGGAAGAGGCGCTTGTATTATCCCATAGAGTACTCGGTACGTACCTACTCAGTCGATTCGTGCCTCATACGGAGCCCTGGCCTGTCCCTTGCAGACGCAGTCCGACCAGCATGAGGACGGGATTAGTCCCGAGGGCCATGTTTCTTGCAGACTGGAACGAACCCTCGGTACGGCTCCGACGAACCCCCTAATAGTTAGTCCGGCATCGATTTTGCTCCTGCACACCTGGAGCAGTACCTTAGTGGCTTGTCATGGGCTCCCAGGGGAGAAAGCATGATCCTCAAACATGCGAGGCTACTGCGCCTTGACCTGGATCAATTCACACACTGCGTGGATCTTGCGACAAGGGCCTGCTGAGGGCTCTCATCTCCGGGGGAAAGCGAATATCTGCTTGTTTTGCCAGCCCCCTTGCCCACATATTAGCGTTCTTGAGAAAAGCCAATCCATCAATGAATGGAAGTACCGAGACTCGAGAGATTCCCTAACCAGGTACTCCGTATTTTGAGACCGGACCTTGTGTTTAATGTCCCTTGCCGAGCAATATCTGAAAGGGACGCGAGATAAACAGGTCAATAGTATCTTTGTGGCGAAATCAGCGTATTTGCTCCGCTGGGGAAAGTTCACTTACCGCTCTTTTGCGCCCAGAAATACAAGGAGCCCATGCAGCAGAGGCCTATCGATGTTCTTTCCCCTATGGAGGACACCAAGAAAGATTGCTCTACGCTAGGTTTGCAATTGCCAGCTCTGCTACCTGTCAGTGGTCAGCGTTGCCGAACCCGGTCGTCGTCACTCTCTTTGACATCAAACTCGCTAATCACGACGAGGAGCTTTTAGCGTTGGAAGGTGGTGTCCTAGCAGGGATCCTTCCGGCCCGTCTTCTCCGTTGTTCGTCGATCGCACCACCGCCCTGATGCACGGACGGCTTACTACTGGAACGCCACTAGGATAAGCCTCTCAAGCTAGTCTATTAGTTGAAGCAAGCAAGGCCAGGTTCATTTGACACGTTTCTGACCCTCTTATAGTTCGGTCAGCCCACGAGGCCTATTGCTGATCATCGGAAGCGAAATACAGGTACGTACTGAGTGAAGGTGCATTGGACCCTCGATGCTTCTCGCGGAGACATCTCAGCCGTGGCGATCACGTCTAGAAGGGGAAGGGCGGAGAATATTGGCCAAAAAAGGTTCACAGCTCTCAACCTTGAGCAGGGAGCTCATGGGTACCCAGTACTGTCAAACTCTATCGCTTTGAGCCCCGAAATCATCGATCAGTGTCTCGAAAAGAGCGTCACGCCAGCCACTGACCAGGGGAGCTCCTGGAAAGAGAAGTGTATGCTCCTTTCAGAATCAGGCACAAACAAACTATCACCCTGAAAATCTAGGCCGCAACATCGGATGTCCCGTCGGATGTTCCCAGCTTTCTCATCTCAACAAGCCCCTCCCCGGCCACAGGATATGCCTCGAAAGTGACTTCCAAGCCCGCCAAAGCCGCCATCTGCTTCCATTCGCGACTGCTCCTGATTCTCCCAGCGTACAACTGAATCATGGTCGCGTGCATCTTTCCATATGTGGCATTTTTTGCGAACTCATGAATCAGCATCCTGGAGTACGGCGCCATCGCATCTGAAATCTTCTTCATCAGTCGCAAGGCTTCGAGGTCTGACAAATTGTGGTAGATGTGTGTTAGGCTATACACGAGAGCACCTTTGACCGACTCGGGTGATTCGTCCTTGAAATCCCAGTTTTGGATCGTCAGCTCGTTCGCATTCTTTTGGTCCGGACGATACTCCTGCAAGACAAGATGCTCTTTCTTCAAGTGAGGGTATGCTTGCTTTACTTCCAGAAGCATCTCACCCCGTCCGCCTCCGATGTCGACGATGGCTATGTTGTTGGCTTCGCTCTCCAAGACGGACCCCAGATCATACCCAAAGGACTTCACCCGCTCTGGCATCGTGCCGAAGCGGCCAAATTTTCCTTCCATGAAGGACGAGAAACTTGGCATGCGTCCTTGCATGTGCATGATGGAATAAGTGTGCTCGTCGACAAATCTCTGCTCGTCAATCATTTTATATCCATATTGCGTGGGTGTTTTGTTTTCCTGGAATGGATATTCGAATTTTGTGTCTCTGAGCTGTCTCATCAAAAAAGCTGCTGACCAGAGAGGCTCTGTCGTGCTTGAAAGCCTCAGTACTGGATGTGTTTCCCCGGCTGTAACACTTACAAATGCAGCATGCCATCGAGAGACGATGGCACTGCGACCATGTGAGCAGTGACGGGGTTTACCCGGTATGTGGTATCATCAACCAGGTCAACCAGGCCCAGACCAGCCATCGCGAACATGGTGTCCTCTGCAAACGTCAGATAACACTCTGGTATTCGGCATTATTCAGACCTGTAAGCCGCAAGCCTGGGATCACGGTCAGCACGCTCTGGCGGTTGCGACAAAGTACCCTACATAGCGGTGAGGACCGTTTGGCTTCATCACTCCTCTCAGCGTCGGACGCTCTGGTCAGCTCTTCGGCTGTTGCAACAGGCCCGATCTGATTGAGCAGGGGGAAGAAGTTGAAATGGATAGCCACTGGGATAAACCCAAGGGCCGCGACCTATCACGGGCGTTATTCTGGTTCCTGCGGTTATAACTAGATTTCGATGCTCTTACTGCAGTTACTGTAGAGGCCAGAATTGCCCCTGGA